CACTCGTGGTGCGTCTGGTTCACCTGCAGGGACATGATCTCTTCTTCAGGGGCGTGCCGGTTCACGTCATTGGTGGTGGTGGCTCGTGGTGGGCTGGGTTGCGGGTGCTGTTCTTGCCGGCGCTTATCCTTGCGGTAGTACAGAGCAGCAAATGCCAGAACATTGAGGAACAACAGTGAAGCTCCCACTGCGATGGTTACGCTCAGCTCGGTGGAGTAATCCCGTGGGTTCTCCACCACCAGAGGGCCTGGTTCCTCTTCTCCATTCCATTGCTCCTTCCCACTCTCGCTGTTGTAGGCCGGAGACATCGGAGGCCGCTTGGTGTTGAACGGCCAGGCTTTGCCGTTGGGACGTTTGGTGGACAGGGAGTTCTGAGTCGTCTCGGGTGGTGGCACTTTGGTGGTGGTGGAGGTGTAGTGGAACATATCGTGTAGGTTGTACAGATGAGGTACCAGGTGCTTCCAGAACGCCACTTTAGTGGCGCGGTAGTGATCACGGACTCGTGGCTTGAGGCCGATGTGCAGGTACAGCTGGTCTTGTGGATTGTATTTGGACCAGGCTACCTCTTCGAAACGATTGGCTTTAGTATGAATGAACTTGGTATCCTGAGGCACTGGTTTGTTGGGATCTCTGCAAAACAAACAGAAGATAAATTAATAAACTAAGCTGAGAAGTTTAGTCATGTAAAGTGTTGCTGCTAGAAGTTCAAGCAATACTTCACCCAAAAATGAAAATTCAATCAGCATTTATTCACAGTCATGTTGTTCCAAGCCCGTGTAATTTTCATATTTTTGTTGAATGCTAAATAAGTTGTTTTGATGAAAATTTATGCTGCTTTTTCTCAGTGAAAGCATGCAGTGGGGATGTAATAATTCACTGAAATCATGATGCGATACGATTCACGATACTGGTTTCATGACATGGTTTTCTCACCATTTTTTTAAAAACAAAAATGAGATTTAAGGCAAATTATAAATAAAAAAAGTGCCCTTTTGTTATTTCTCGGGCAATTTCTTGATGAAAAATCTTTTATGCCAAATAACAAAAATAAAGTGAAATTTTAAATCCCAAATCAAATAAATACATGAATAATACAATATATATATATATATAGCGCCATGCTTCTTTCTTCTTAACCGTGCCTTTGCTTTCTTTTCATTGAAGCACTTCCTTCATTCTTTGTCAGTCTCAGCACGCATAAAGACACAAACAGCTAGCACCCTTTCTCATGTCAACCCCTGGAGTTTGCGTCAATCAACAAAACAATTTGAGTCCACAGACATTCCTCATCATCACTGCACTACTATCAGTCTTGCTTCACCTTCTTGTATAAAGATGCCAGGCACTTCTTGCCAAATCATCATTTTCTATTTCTCCCCTGTGTGACATTACGTTACAGCTCATATCTCTAAGCACCTCTGCCTGCTGGGCTTCACGCATCCTCGGCTCAATCTGTATAAAAAAAAGAGATTGGCCCAAGCTTTTAAAGTGAAACACAAATGAATAAATCAACAGCTGAGATGTGCTTCAGGATGCAACTTGTTTTTGATAAAACAACAGCAGTGCATCCATTCCGTTAATTGCTTTGGGAAAGCAGTGCAGATTGCATTAACAGCGAGTGTGCTGATAGAAAGTGGACCATATTAATCTAAACGCTAAAGGGGGGATGCTGGCAAAGGGCCCTTGTATATGTGTGTTGTATTACCCTTTAGCCTCCAGGGTTCACTGTTTCTCCAACTGACATTACAAGCTCACAAAAGGCAAAGCAAGGTGGCGTCCAACCTCCATGATATTATTGATTTATCGTCTGTATGAACATATGGCATATAAATAATCACACATCTACTTGTTGCATTTTAGCTCCACTAGTAACTGTCCTAAGCTTTTAAGATCTCTTCAAAATATATACTACTTTGCTGGTGAAAAAAAAAAATATTTTTTTTTATCAGAAACACAGAATCGTTGGAGAAATATGCTTTTTGCTGCCACATAACAAGCAGGAGCGAACAGCTAAACCTTGACCTTTCATCTGTGATAAAATACTGCAAGATGGAACTGGAACAATATTTCAGACTTGATCTAATGTAAAGACGTCCCATGAACTAAATACTGTTTTTACTTATACTGTCTGCCAGTGGTTCTTTTTAAGCCAAGCGCCACCTTTGCATATCTGTGGAAGAGTCCTATCAGAAAATGCATATAACACCATAATAACAACATTCAGAAAGGTTGACACTGTAATTCTATGTGTTCTTATGCAGATTAAATTCAAACGCATTAATATTAAAACTATTTTAAAATGTGATAAAAGCTTTTCTGTCTAGGACTGCTCTGTCAAAGTGGTTATTTGAATATTAAGCAGTAAGTTCATGGGCTACCGATACAGAAGAGAACCAATCAGCTGCCATGCGACAATGATGTCGCCAGGTCAGATTGAGCTAGACCTATCGGACTGCGCCATCTAGAGTTTCATGTCAGAACTCTGTATTTAACTAAAATAACCCTGAATCTGACTATTTGGATTTTGACCATGACATATTGTATGACTACTCTTTCGGATATTGGATTGCATATTTTTAATAAACTACTTCTCAAGGATTATAAAACTGCAAGTCCAATGCCTTTATTACAGTAGGTAACCATACCAGTAGCAATAATGTATAATAATGGCTCGTTTCCATTGAGCGGTACGGTTTGCAATTATTTCCGTTTCCACTGTCAGAAGTTGTGAATGGTACCAAAATAGCGAACCGTACTGTACCACTTTTTTGGTACCCTTCCGTTGGGGTACCTAGGACAACAAAGGGTACCAAAAGGGTGGAGCTAAACTCACCGCACAAAGTTGATTGGTTGACTAGAATCGTTCCCCTTTGCGTGATACAAGGGGATAAAGCGTCCTTCACTCGTTCAGCTTTGCTGTCCATGAGTGTTGGGCTTATTTACATCAGAGTGCGCAAACACAAAAAAATATAACCATGTATTTCAGAATTTTATATTTTCACACAGACAATAGGCTAGCCGTTTCTCAATATGCGTTCTTGTCTGTTCTTGAGGACTTACCCACGTAATTTTCTAAACATTACTGTTATTGTGTCATGAAATGTAGTTTTAAGAGTTTTTCAGGTGAGAATGTAATTGTTTAAAACTCAAATCTGCAGTTTATTTATAAAGATAGCGCCTATTTGAAAATTTGCTATGCCAATTTCGGAGTTTCAGGCGATCACCAGGCGCTCAGTGCTCATGTATCCGCCGAGAGCAGCCTTAGCTCGGCTAGTCCTTCTGACATTTGCCGCTGGCTCTGATGTCTCTGTAGTGATTAAACATGAGATAGGCCTACAATTTTGGGTTGGCTATATTTAACAGGCATTCGTGGTCTCATGAATCTATTATTTGTTCCTGGTCATATCGTTTTGGCTGAGCACAAAGTTATGTTTAAATTTATATATTTAATTTGAACTTTACTGTAGTACAGCGCTGACTTTGTAGCATACTGTAGGATTTCTGTATTCAAAAACAGAAACCATTAAATCTGTGAGCAGACACAAACGAACATTGAATCTCTGCATTCCACCGGAAAAACTAAAGGTTCTCCTCCCCAGCCATCTGCGGTCATGAAACTACATACAGGGTCAGCTCAGTGTCTCAGCAGTTCCTGTCGCCTTCGGCTTATCTTCTCAAGAGACTCAAAGAAAATCACTAAGACCGCAATAACTGACCCCTGCATCTGGACTAATTTAAGCAACAGAATGTCAGGGTTGTCTCGTGACTGGCTTCAGCATAAATAAACTATCTAATAACCAACAGAACAAAGAACCTGGTATCTGGAAATGTTCCAGCGACAGACACTCCTGGACCCCATGACCGTTTAACACATAAATTGATAGTCCGATAAACAGAAAGCGACAGATTAATAGTGTCCGAGCGAGAAGAATGGCAGATCTCCACCCGTGACAGTGTCATGACCTCAGGACAATTCCCCTCTTTCTCCCTGCATTCCAAAAGGGACGCATCCTTTACTACTTTCCAGAAAAGCGCGGTGCTCCTGTCACAGACAAAGAAACAGAACTTACACAGACAATTCAAAAGACAATCATTTAAGTATAAAAGGGCAGCTATATCACAAATAATATGTTGTATGCATTATATATGCTTGAGGTGTTAAAATGTAACCTTGCAACTTTAATCAATGTGTTTAACCCCTTTTAGCAGATAAAGCTATTGATATGTTAAGCTTAATGTTGAATGAAAGCTTGCTTTATTCGCCGAACATTGGCGTGAATGAAAAATTGGTATCCGGCATAATTTTCTTGTGATAATATTGTTTATAAGAAGTTATTAAAGCTTGCAGAAATACTCCCCACGGGAAACATGTGACCCATGCCTAATCAGGGAACAGTGCGGGGCGTGGCTAAGCCTTGCAAGTAATGTCTGATTGGAACAACGATCTGGGGGATGGACTTATGCCGCAGATCAAAAACTCAATGCAAGACAGACTCAGCGCGCTCGCTTGCTTCTTTGCCTTTCGCCGTGTTAATAGCACTCCAACCTGTGCTCACATGCTTACCATCAAAGTGATCGGTCATCCAAAACTCAAACACTTCAGTTGAAGCTTCGTGATTGCCAGAGATCTTCAAAAGCCTAAAGTCTTGCAAACTCAAACTTTTCAGAAGAACTGCTCAAGCCTCTGCACCATCAAGAAACCAACCAATCTCCGAAGGGAATTCCCAGAAACCTCATCATCCAGACGCCCGACCAGTAACCAATCAAAAGCCGGGATTCCCTCAAGCAGCCAAACAAGGAAACGTCACCCAAACGCAAGTAAACTAACAAAATCTTCTATCTGCTGAACTGGTGCCGAGCTAATTTTAAGCAGTAAACATAAGCCAAGTCTCTGCTTTATGAATTTTCGCAGGTTGCAAGTGCAAGAACTGTAGTGAATACCTTGCTAAAACTTTGGGCTTTCCTCAGAACTCCGTTAACATAATTTCCCTGAACCTTTGTGTGTATGTGTGTTTTAGCTTAGGTTAAAGGGATAGTTCACCCAAAAATGAAAATTGGATGTTTATCTGCTTTACCCCCAGGGCATCCAAGATGTAGGTGACTTTGTTTCTTCAGTAGAACACATTTGATGATTTTTAAGTCCAACCGTTGGAGTCCATCAGTCTTATAATGGATGGCAATGGTAACAAAGTCTATGAGAGTAAAAAAAGCATGCACAGACAAATCCATTCTAAACCCTGTGGCTCGTGACGACACATTGATGTCCCAACACACGAAACGATCGGTTTGTGCCAGAAACCGAACAGTATTTATATCATTTTTTACCTCTAATACACCACTATGTCCAACTGCTTTGGGTGCGCGCACGGCTTCCAGTGCGTGAGATGTGTACGCGCTCTGGCGTAGTTTACGTTAATGGGTGTGTTGTCGCGGGAGGAGCAATTGACAGACACAGGTTTATTAACAGAAAATAAACAAAGTTTCCAGAAAAAAGGGAATCAAGTGTCCAAAATAAACAGGGGATCTGGTGTCCTCGTCGTGCTGCGGGGTTCGTGAAGGGAAGGGCAGTGGTCCGGCGGCCACACGCGCTCCCCTCTCCGGTCCGGGGCGCGAGGGGCAGCGGCTTCTAT